CCTCCAAAACCTGGATCTCACCATGAAATGAGGCACCACCAAACCCGAAATCTCAGTATGGAATGGGCACCTCCAAAACCTGGGTCTCACCATGGAAAGAGAAACCTCCAAAACCTGGATCTCACCATGGAATGAGGCACCACCAAACCCCAAATCTCAGTATGGAATGGGGCACCTCTAAAACCTGGATCTCAGCGTGGAATGAGGCACCTCTGAAAGCTGGGTCTCACCATGGAATGAGGCACCACCAAACCCCAAATCTCAGTCTGGAATGGGGCACCTCTAAAACCTGGATCTCAGTGTGGAATGAGGCACCTCTGAAAGCTGGGTCTCACCATGGAATGAGGCACCACCAAACCCCAAATCTCAGTCTGGAATGGGGCACCTCCAAAATCTGGATCTCACCATGGAATGAGGTACCTCCAAAACCTGACCGTGGAATGAGCCACCTCCAAAACCTGGATCTCAGCATGGAATGAGGCACCACTGAAATCTGGATCTGAGCATGGAATGAGCCACCTCCAAAACCTGGATCTCAGCATGGAATGAGGCACCACTGAAATCTGGATCTGAGCATGGAATGAGGCACCTCCGAAACTTGACCATGGAATGAGGCACCACCAGCTCTGCTTCCCGATGCTGTTGCATGGAAGAACAGAGAAGCTGGGTGTGCAAAGCAGGACTTCTCAGAGGTGTTGGAAGTCAGGCTGGAATCTCCTCTCGCTGCTGGCACGGCAGAAATTGGATCCAATTTTGGATGGTGCCACCTTTCCCCTTCTGGAAAACAGCCCCACTGGGGAGAAGGAGCAAACCTGGAAGCTGCAAATGTTAAACATCTCCCGTTTTCCAGCTGAGCAGCAGCAGTGGGAACGTGGCTGCTGGGAGCTGGAGTTGTGGACACCTCAGGGAAGCCAAAGGAACAGGATCCAAAACCAACTCCAATCCCTAACTGGCCCCTGCTGAGCCAGTGGCTGGGAATATGCACCTGTCCAAAAAAGGAGAGCTCTGCTGGAAAGCTGAACCTCTGGAATTCCAAGCCAAGAGAGTGGTTTGGATTTCAGCTTGGATATCAGCTGGGAGTAGCAGCTTGGAACAGTTCTGAGGAGATCAGGCTCTTAAAATTCCCTTTAAGGACGTGGCCCACATGGAATAAATCAATTCCAGGCGGTTGGATTGGCCCAAACAGTGGCAAAATCCCATAATAGCAACACTTTATCATGGCAGAACAGGATACAGGAAAAGCAGGGAGAGAAAAACATCACAGTAGCAAAATGTGAAGTTCCAGACAGTAAAAACCTGTGGGAGGAGAATTAGGAAATAACGCTCCCTATAAAATTGTTGGGAATTTTTTTCCTGTCAGTAACAACAAGCAAACACACAAAGGAACATAAAGGAGGCCGAGAGGAACCCCCAACATTCAGACTCACAATTTTATAGGATTTCACAGGATTTTTACTCCTATAACCAAATGCCTCAAGGTTCTCACAGTATCTGCCCCACCGGTCTCCAACCATTTGGATTTGCAGACTCCAGAGCTTTTGCCGATGAATTCTTGGACCAAGTGCAGCAAGCTGGAACCCTCTGCCAGCATTTGCCTCTGCCCACCTCCCATCCTCGATTCCAGGACTGCAGGGCACAACTGAGCACCCCTGAGCCCCGTGGGGACTGCAGAAGACACCCCAAAACTGCAACACCTCCCCTTGGTTCCTGTGTCCACCCTGGGGAGCAGCAGCAGCTCTGTGGGATTCCCTGAGGAGAGGGGTGGCACTAAACCCTGACGGAATTGTTTGGGATTGTTGGCACGGCAGTGTCACATCCCCAAGGGCTCCAGCTGAGAATTGGCAGCCCTGAGGCTGCCCAGGGGGGCTCTGGGAGGGACATCAGGAGCATGGGATGGGTTGGGTTGGATTGGAAGCACCTTGAAGATCATCCCATTCCTACCCCTGCTATGACAGGGACAGCTCCCACTGTCCCAGTGTCCAACCTGGTCTTGGGCACTGCCAGGGATCCAGGGGCAGCTTTTTGGGAATTCCATCCCAGCCCCTGCCCACCCTGCCAGGCAACAATTCCCAATTCCCAAAATCCCACCCAGCCCTGCCCTGTGGCAGTGGGAGCCATCCCTGGGTCCTGTCTCCAAGCCCTTGGGAATGGGATGATCCTGGCCCTCCTCATTTTCCTGGTTTAGGGCAGCCAAGTGTGGAAGAGCTGCTGAGAAATGCACGACCACTGTCCAAAACCTGCTGCAGGCCAAACAAGTCCAAGTGCAGCACGTGCCTCCAGACCCTTGGAATAAGCTTCATTCCTTGTGGGATGGCTGGACACGGATCTCGGACCTTTCCCAGCTGGAGGCTGGACACGGAGGCTGCTCCTGCTGGCACAGTCACAGCCAGGGCTCACTGGCAGCTCTGAGCTCCCAAATAAATTAGGGAATAAAGAATACCAGGAAGCAGGCACAGACACATTGTCCCACATTGTCCCGGCCCTGCTGGAGGCAACAGCAAAAGAAGGCTGATCCCTTCTCCTGAGAGCCAAGCCAGGAAAACACGATAGGAACAGCCACAGAAGAGCAGCCAAGAGGGAATTCATCTCCAGTCCCTCATCCAAAGGCCTGCAGCTGGAATAAATAACACAAGTTTCCCTCTAGTGCCTTCACAGCTGCACGTGGGAAGCTCCACAAGGAGGAGAATGACCCCTGGGTAGGCTGAACAGAAGGAAAATGAAAAAAAAAAAAAACATTTTCACACATCCCTGAGGACCGAGTTTGTGCTCAGCCCCTCAGCCCCAGGGTGGTTTGTGCCGTCCTGCCGCTGCAGGTCCAGGAAGGCAGCGCTGTTGATGATGACAAAGGTGTCCTTGGTGTCCTTGGTGTCCCTGCTGTGGCCCTGGGGCAGCTCCAGCTGGCCCCGGGGTGGGCTCAGCTTCCCCGAGTACAGGTAGTCCATGTAGTTCTCGGGCTTGCTGGAGACGATGTTGGTGAGCATCATGACAAAGAGGAGGAAGCCGAAGAAGCCGACGATGATGAGGATGTAGAAGGAGGCCATGATCTCCTCCTGCAGCTCCAGGGCGGGGTTGCTGTAGTTGTTGAACCGAAGGGCCTTCTTCTGTTCCATGTGCAGCAAATTGGTCAGCACCGAGCTGCTGTTGGTGTGGTTGCTCAAAGCCATCGCAGCTTCCATCCCAGAGGCCAAATCTGAACAAAACAAAGCAAAAAAGTACGGATTAGCTGAGCCCAGGGTCTTACACCATTCCCTGTCCTCTGCTCTGGAATTCCTGCATTTGGAAAGTTCAGCTGGAGGAGCCTGAGCTCAGCTGAGCAGCAGCTCCAGTCTCTCCTCCCTGGGACAGGGGCAGGATCCTGGCTGGAGCTGGGCCAGGAAGGATTTAGGTTGGATTTTAGGGAAAAGTTCTTCTCCAGAGGTGCTGGCACTGCCCAGGGAATGGGCACGGCCCCGAGGCTGCCAGAGCTCCAGGAGCCTTTGGCCAGCGCTGCCAGGGATGCCCAGGGTGGGGTTGGTGGGGTCTGGGCAGGGCAGGGCTGGCACTGGGGGATCCCTGTGGGTTTATTCCCACTCAGGATATTCCATAGTTCAATTCCCACTCAGGGTATCCCATGGTTCAGTTCCCACTCAGGATATTCCATGGTTCAGTTCCCACTCAGGATATTCCATGGTTCAGTTCCCACTCAGGGTATCCCACGGCTCAATTCCCACTCAGGGTATCCCACGGTTCAGTTCCCACTCAGGGTATCCCACGGCTCAATTCCCACTCAGGGTATCCCACGGTTCAGTTCCCACTCAGGATATCCCATCTCTCCATCCCCCAGCTGCACATCTGCCAGGCAGAGCTCCACAGTGAAGGCAGTGGCAAGCTGGGGCAGGAATTCAGGGAATGCAAAGCTGTGCTGCCTGCCTGGCAAACGGGCACGGGCACACAGGGCTCCCCCAGGCTGCTTCTGCCCTGCTGCTGGGGCAGCTCCAGAGCCAGAACTTGGGAATAACCCTGCCAGTTCCAGGGATTAGCTCAAATAAAAGGAACCTCACCAAGAGGAGAGGAAATCAATACTGGGATTGCCACAGAATCATGGAATGGTTTGGGTTGGAAGGGAGCTCAAATCCCACCCAGTGCCACCCCTGCCATGGCAGGGACACCTCCCACTGTCCCAGGCTGCTCCAGCCCCAGTGTCCAACCTGGCCTTGGGCACTGCCAGGGATCCAGGGGCAGCCCCAGCTGCTCTGGGCAAACCATTGCCTCTAAGCAAACCACAAAATCCTGCCATTCTGAAAAATCTAAAGATGAAAAGAATTTTTGCTCCATCTCCCAATCCCACACCCAAAAATAAGCTTTTGGCGGCAACAACTTCCCAATTTTGACAGAAACCCATGGATCAATTTTAGCTCTCTGAAATGCCTTTTTTGAGAAGAACGTGACAATCTTAGGAAAGCTTTGTGCCAATCTGCCCATGAGGGCTTTAAATCAGATGCAAGAGTTTCATCCCAAACATGGAATTTTTGTGAATTTCAGGTCATCTCCTGCTGCTCAGGCCCTGGCACAGGTGCCCAGAGCAGCTGTGGCTGCCCCTGGATCCCTGGCAGTGCCCAGGGCCAGGTTGGACACTGGGGCTGGAGCAGCCTGGGGCAGTGGGAGGTGTCCCTGCCATGGCAGGGGTGGCACTGGGTGGGCTCTGAAGTGTCTCCCAACAGAACCATTCCACCATTCCTTGTCTCAGTTTTCATCCTGTTTTATTCATCAAGGCCCTCTAATAATGAGGGAATAACCCCACCTCTTACAGCCCGAGCTCTGGTGCTTTCCATCACCTGAGGGGTTGACGATGCCTGCAATTTCCTACAAGAACATATTTAAAAAGCGAGCTTGGGCATTTTTAAAGTGAGCTTGGGTGTTTTTAAAGCGAGTTTGAGCCATTTTTAAAGCGAATTTGAGCCATTTTTAAAGCAAGTTTGAGCCATTTTTAAAGCGAGTTTGAGCCGTTTTTAAAGCGAGTTTAAAACAGTGCATTCTCATTTAAAACTTTAAATTCATGTGAATAAGAGAATTAAAATTAAAAAAAAAAAAAAAAGTGAAAAAATAAGGAGACTAAAAAGAGTTGATCTTCCTGCCAGTGTCCCCTGAGGTATTTGGATAATCCTTGGAAGAAAGAGCACCTGACCCCCGGGTCAGGCCAGCTGGCATCCCTGCCTGGCACCTTCCTTCCCTTGGAAATTGTGGATGCTCCGAGGATGTTCAGCACTCCTGACTCAGGGAATTCACAGAATCCCAGAATAATGAGGTTGGAAGAGACCTCTAAGATCATCAAGTCCAACGCATGCCCTAACACCTCAACTATAGCACCAAGTGCCATGTCCAGTCTTTTTTTAAACCCACCCAGAGATGGTGATTCCACCACCTCCCTGGGAAGACAATTCCAGTATTTTATAATTCTTTCAGTGAAAATTTTTTTCCTAATATCCAACCTGCACCTTCCTGACGTAGCTGGGGCTGTGTCCTCTGGTTCTGTCAGTGCTGCAGGTGGGAGAGACCGACCCCACCTTCTGCACCTCCCTTCACCTCTGAGCCTCAGCCCCAGCGGTGCCCCCGGGCATCCCGGCGGGTCAGGGATGCCCATTCCCTGCTCCTGGCTGTGCTCATCCCGCCTGGCATCTCCTCCTGCTGCCCACCAAACCCAGCTCAGCCCGTGCCACCCCGCATTGAGGAGATTTTACAGAATTCCAGCAGCTCTGGGGGTGTGGGAGCAGCGGCTCAGGTGTGGCGTGGAGCTGAAGGGGAATTTTTTTGTCTCTATAGGAAAACAGAAAGTCAAATTCCCTTCCACATTCCAATGGATTATAAAACCCGTGGATTATTAAACACCTCCCTCGGCCCTAGCCCAATCTGGCTTCTTAAAATTCATGAATCATTTAAAAGGGACTTTAAAGATAATTTTGTTCTACCCATGGGCAGGGATACCTTCCACTGCCCCAGGCTGCTCCAACCTGCCCCTGGGCACTGCCAGGGATCCAGGGGCAGCTTTTTGGGAATTCCATCCCAGCCCCTGCCCACCCTGCCAGGAAACAATTCCCAGTTCCCAAAATATTCCCAAAATCCCATCCAGCCCTGCCCTGTGGCAGTGGGAGCCGTTCCCTGTCCTGTCCCCACACGCTCCTGGCAATGTTCTCTGCCAGGGACTCAATCCAAGATGCCGAGTGAAAATTCCCCTCTCAGAGGGCACAGCACAATAAATGGGATTTATTCCTCGGCTCAACCCTCAGCTGAAGGTTTTAGGCTGGAAATTTGGCTGAAAATCCATTGTTTTCCTGGTAAGATTTTCTCAGTTTCTGCCCCAAGCCCAGCTCTCCTTGCCCTGTCCATCCCGACTGTTCTGCTCCACGGGATTTATGGGCAGTACCAAAATTCAGGGATAAATCCCCAGTCCTTCCTCCTCCTGATGGAATTCCAAACTCCCTGCAACCCTACCTCAAAAAAACCACCACCAACCCCTCGCTCTGCCCACCCCAAAACCATTCCACCCCCAAAATTCTATTTATTTGCTGTCATATAAAGCTGAGACTGTGCTTTGGGTGCTCCTGGTTTTTATGGATGCTGCCCACCACTGCCTGGGACCTGGGACAGTGGGGATTTAAAATTGAATATAAAGCCCAGAGATCTGACTTTTCAGGTGCTCAGACTTTGCTTTCTAAGGGAAACAGTGTCTTCTACTCAGTGAGATGTTGGACAGGCACTTCAAATCTCAATATTAAAAAAAATGTCAATATAAAAACAAGTCAATATTTTAAAAGTCAATATATTAAAAATATTTTTAAATCCATATTTTAAACCCCGCAATATATAAAAAATCAGTATCTTAAAAAATCCCAGTATAAAAAAAAATTCCCAATATATTTTAAAAATCTCAATATATTAAAAAAACTCCTCGATATATTAAAAAAATCTTAATATATTTTAAAAATCTCAATATATTAAAAAAACTCAATATATTAAAAAATCTCAATATACATTAGAAAGTAAATATTATAGATAACATATCTATTTTAAAAGTCAATAAATAATATACAAATAATAAAATAAATTATTTTTTAAATAGGGCAGAATCTGCCTTTAGAGACAACCAAGGAAGGATTTGTGGCTGCTCCTGGGCAACTCCAGGTGTCTGGGAAGGTGTAAACAGGCTTTGTACAAACAAATTGAGTTCTTTGCCCATGTGCAGCTCCCAGGCAGTGCTGGAAGAGCTGGAATCCCAGAAATCACGTTGGGAAAAGTCTCCAGGAGCAGCAGGTCCAAGCCGAGCCCCAGGTGCCACTGGAAGGGCCTGGGGGGATGTTTTGGTCCCCATGAAGTGCTGGGATGTCCAATGCTCCGATTTCCCCACTGCTGTGTTGATTAAATGGATGAGAAATCAGATTTCTCTCTTTCTTCTTTCTCTCTCACTTTCCTTATTTTCTTTGTCTTTCTTTATCTTTCCTATTTTTTTCTTTCTTTTCTCTCTCTCTCTTTCCTTATTTTCTCTTTCTCTCTTTCCTTGTTTTTTCTTTCTTTTTCTTCTTTCTTTCCCTTCTCTCTCTTTCCTTATTTTCTTTCCTTCTTTCTTTCTTTCCCTCTTTCTTCTTTCTCTTCTTTCTCTCTTTCCCTCTTTCTTTTCTTTCTCTCTCTCTTTCCTTATTTTCTCTCTCTCTTTCCTTCTTTCTCTTTTCTTCTTTCTTTCCTTCTTTCTTACCCTCTTTCTCTCCTTTCTTCTTTCCTTCTTTCTCTTTTCTTCTTTCCTTCTTTCTCTTTTCTTCTTTCTTTCCTTCTCTCTCTCCTTATTTTCTCTTTCTCTCTTTCCTTGTTTTTTCTTTCTTTTTCTTCTTTCTTTCCTTTCTCTCTCTTTCCTTATTTTCTTTCTCTTCTTTCTCTCTTTCCCTCTTTCTTCTTTCTCTTCTTTCTCTCTTTCCCTCTTTCTTTTCTTTCTCTCTCTCTTTCCTTATTTTCTCTCTCTCTTTCCTTATTTTCTCTCTCTCTTTCCCTCTTTCTTCTTTCTTTCCTTCTTTCTCTTTTCTTCTCTTTCCTTCTTTCTTACCCTCTTTCTCTCCTTTCTTCTTTCCTTTTTTCTCTTTTCTTCTTTCTTTCCTTTTTTCTTTCCCTCTTTCTCTCCTTTCTTCTTTCCTTCTTTCTCTTTTCTTCTTTCTTTCCTTCTCTCTCTCTCCTTATTTTCTCTTTTCTTCTTTCTCTCTTTCCCTCTTTCTTCTTTCTTCCCCTCTTTTCTTTTCTTCTTTCCTTCTCTCTCTCTTTCTTTTCTTCTTTCTTTCCCTCTTTCTCTCCTTTCTTCTTTCTTTCCTTCTCTCTCTCCTTATTTTCTCTCTCTGTTTTCTCTCTTCCCTTCCCAGCTCTGGCCCAGCCCTTTCCCCTCCCCTCCGCTCTGTTTTTGCCCAGCCCGAGCAGTGCTGGAGCCTTTTTGTATTTTCTGTGTGTGCAGGGCGAGGCCCCACGGGCACAGCTCCCACCGCGGGAGAGGAGCAGTGGCTGAGCCAGGAGGGGAATCCTGCAATTCCCAGAGAATCTGGGATTCCTGGAAGGAGCCCCTGGAGGAGGTTAATGTCCCTTCCAGCCCAGCACCATCTGCCCCAGAAATAGAGAAAAGTAAATACAATCCACGCACGCGTGGGGCTTGCATAGATTTCTCCTCCCCTACACAGACAAACACATTCAAATGCAATCAAAATTCTTTAAAATGCGTTAAAATTTCTCCTCCTCCTACACGAACACACTAAAGCACATTAAAAATGCTTTAACAGTTTTAAATATTAAAACACATTAAAATTTCTCCTCCTCCTGCACAGACAAACACATTCAAATGCAAAAACAGAGCTACAAGTCTCTGTTA